GGGGGGGATGTCGTTTGCTTGTTTAAAATCTTTTTTTTTGAGGAAAAATTATGAGGCCTAGTGTTACAAAATTGCTTTAACTTATAAAAAGGTATTTACTTCTTTGCCCCGTTGGGATGGTCATGATATATCAGCATAGCTTATAGTAATGTTTAGGTAGGAGGTAAGGCATTTGGAAAAGCATTAATCAGAATATTAAATAGCATGGGACTAAGAACTCCCCCTGCAGTGTACCTAAAGACCTTTCTTTAAATCACTTTGAACCTTGGTAAAAGGGCGAGGATACTCTATTTACGGATCCTATTATCCCGCAAGTAAAACACCACCAATATTATTTTGGATTTATGAGTATAAAGGGTTTTGTTCGCAATATCAAATGCAGATTTTAGATCAAGAAAAGTGGTAAAAATAGTAGGGTGGGGTGCATGGAAAGGTGGAAATACGTTTTGCCACTTTTTCCTTTCTGAACCCATGAGGTAGGGGGAAAGTTGATGTCTGATTCTGTTTTACAGTCTGTTAAGCATCATTCTTTCAAAATTTTCAAAAACAACTAGTTAAAGGAGATCGGCCAAATGTATCGGGTTTTTGGGGTTTGGGTGGCAAATGAGACATTGGGCCCGGAAGTGGGAAAAACCCCTCAAAGTAACTGGATTTATACGTGCCCAAAAAAGGGTTATCACATGTTAGATTTTGAGAAATCATAGGGTTTTACCACCTCTCCAGGGGGCAGTTGTCGACTTTTGGGTTTGCATTATCTAAATTTATACTCGGTAAAGAGGCAATCAATTCTCAATTTTTGGCTCATAAATTAATCAGTTTAAATTTCTTTAGAAATCTTCAAATTTTTTCTAAAATTTAGTGGGAAAGGCTTTCATGCCCGGGGTTTTTGACCCGTCATTTTTAGGGCATTTGCTTTTTTAAGAGGAAAGGGATGAGCAAAATTGCCAGTCTTTTTTCCGGTATTTTTTTTTATCCTTTCCAGCCCCAAAATCAAAGGGGTGGACCTATTTTAAACCACTAAAAAAAATGTTCCCATTCCTTTGCCCAATTCTTCTTTTATTCCTTGCTTTGTTTGTGCAGCTTGGAACGTTTGAGGGTTTGGGGTTCTACATTTCCCGGGATGCTTACCAATCCCCTAGCTGCATGTGTTGATTGGCAGCTGTGATCATTATGTATTTACATTGGTTTTTAGTTTATTTATAGTGGGGGTTTTTGTTTTTCCCATTCCTGCCCACTTATTTGTGAGAACACTCCAATAGTGGTAATTAAATCATCATTAAATTTTTGTGTGCCAAGGGTCGTTTTCCCCATCCCTTGTCCAAGTGGTTAATAAAGTTGTCTGTGTTCTGGGTTTTAGAATAAATTTCCTCCTTCTGTATTTGTCCTTGATTGCGGGGAGTGATCAAGATTGACGTTGTTTCTTGGGGGAAAGGGTAATAGAAAATCATCAACTATGAAGAGTCAGGGATGTATATGATGTATTAAAATCCAAGACACAGATTAGTATGCCACCATATATGTGAGTAGGCTCGTAGTGCCCACAATTCGAACATTATCATGCTCATTTAGCATTCCACTGTTTGTTCCATTGGGTTTGTTATAGACCCACCAAATATTCTTATGTCTGGCATTAAAATCTCCAAGAATGAGGGTAGGTTCACTATTAATGCGATCTGGTAAGCATCAGGTCGAAGCTGGTTCGCTGGGAATGAGATTAAAAATGTTTATGGAAAAATCGCCTGCATATACTTTGACACCATGATACGCATGTTAACTGACTTGCAAGGAAAGGAGTGAATGTGGCAAGCTCTTCTGACATACATCACACAACAGTTGGTTGCCCTTAGGTTTTTAAGCTGCATTCCAGGCAAGTTTTGGTGGAGGTGCTCATCTTTCAATCTACATTCCTGCAAACAGATGACATCAATATTCTTGGTTGCACTAATTGGATGTAAGTCAGGCAACCGCTTCCTGATGGAAGCAATGTCCATGAAAAGATTTGTAATGTATCCATTGTAAGTGAGTTATTACAATTTTGCTCATAAGATGGAAAAAACTATTATTGCTTTGACTACAGTGTGCAGATATTTAAAGAGCAAATAGATAGTTTGTACGTCTTTATCTTCAGGACCTTTATTTTTAAGCATTTTTCGGCATTTTGGCAGCCAGTGATAAGGCAAGTCTTAAAAGGCAAGAGTTATGGGCTTTTTTTCTCACAAATTGCTGGAAGCTGAACGGAGATTGCTGCATTTTTGGACTCATCACCATGCTCAAGAGCATCATCCTGATTACATATATTTATTAAACTGTCAGGATCTGTTCAAGATGCTCAATTTTTTTCTGGAAAGTTGTTATAATATGAGGAAGGTCTAACGAATCCAATGCCTCTCCGGGGGATGGCCTTCTGGGTTAGTGCTTTCTTTAACACCTATCACCTTAACAGGTACCATGGTTCTTAGTGTTCTCTGTTTCATCACTGTTGTAGTTGTGTGTATTGGGAGAAATGACAAACTCATCCCCATATTCAGGTGTAGCCATAGGTATCTGTAGTGGCAGACCAGTAGTTCCATATGTGCTAGCAGGGATGGCTAGCTCCTCCACAGCTGGTGTGTGTGATGGCATTCTGGTATCACCAGAATCCTTTGCAGTGAGGTGGGGTTCTTGCACACTTTGCAGAGGTTCAGTCTCAGATTGACTGGGGTTAGACTGGATGGCCCCATCCTCAGTTACCATTAAAGGACTGTTATCAGGTTTACATCGAAGGTTGTTTGGGTTCTGACTGCAGTCCTTGTGGGAGACTGTAACCCCAACTTCTTTACAGTTAATACACTTAAATTTTCTGCTGAAAGTGTCAAAATGTATTTAATTTGCTTGCCGCTATATTGCGAAGCTTGACAGATCAGGTTAACTACCCAGCGCTGGTTATAGCAAGCTCACCCATAGTTTTCTCACGGATGGGTGATTTATTTATATGCGAGACTTGGGAGAGATCATGCAAACTATCTGACATTGCTCACACCAGACTACCATGTGTCATTGCAAGGATGGGTGCTTCTGTTCCGCTGTAAGATTTGCCAAATCACTCTATCCAACATATTTGTGTTAAATTGTTCACGTTATCAGAGTGCGGTTTGTTTCTCTGATTTGTCTCTATCCTACTTTGGGTCTTTGTTTTTCTTGGAGTGTTTATGCCAGTTTTCCATACAGTTCTGACTGACCTCCACAGTTTTACGTCACTTTACTCAATGCACACAAGACTGTCTAGTCAGTATGTATGTTCTTCTTGTCTCTTATTTCAAACCTTCACCGTTGCTGATCCCTGTGATATAAGTCGGAATTCACTGATTTTCCTAAACTTTTGCCTCTCCTCGTTGAATCCCCCCAAAGTGGTATTAAAGTATGCTTTATATTCACTGAGGTATATACGCATCTTGGTGTATATACCTGCCTGTTACCTTTTCCAGCACTACTCTGATGTTCTTACTGTGTGCGGTGATGGATCCTAATCGTATTTTTCAAGGGCGTCTGCCCCCCCCAATCAATAATTTTTACTAAATAAGTATAAGCACCCCCTCCCTCACTGTCCCCCCCGTCATACTGTTTCTATCGTTCCTGTCTCACAGAGTGGAGCTAGCAGTCTAAACTCTTCCACTATTAGTCCTTCGCATCTAGATAAAAACCCAAAAGTCATCTTTTACTGGATTCTAGCAATTTCGGAGTTTCCAGACAGTGAACGTGAGGACTTCAATGCATGAAGCCTGGTCATGGCCGGGCCCGCAGGGCGTTGACCCCCGGAACACTCTCGAGGTTCCCGGCCTTGCATCTCCCGAAAATATATTCTGTATTTTCCATAGGCAGAATTTTTTGGGCAGCACTGGTAACCAGTGAGCTATATTCTATAAGTAAGAATGCTGTAGCTGGAACAGTTAACAACTAGCCCACAAAATTGGTGATGACAATTATACGATGTTTCACTCCTTTCTGTGAGTACCAAAAGCCCAGGAAGGATCAAACCTCACCTGATTACAAATTCCGTTTTTTGAACTATCTATCAAGATTTTTTCTGAGGCCATACCTAGCTTCCTGTGGTCGTGGCTTCATTGTTGAGGAATGTGGAAGAGTGTTTCCCTGCGTATTTACATGCTTACACCAGACTCACTAGTGTAAATGAAGACTGCTCCACTCTGAGGCTTACCAAGTCGCAATGACTGCTTAACATATATGGAACGATTGAACGATTGTCTTGCTTATCAAAGAACACCTTAGCTTGATTTTCAACTTATGGTTCATTGCACTTGGCTTATTCTCTCCTCTCTCTCTGGAAGTACTATCTTTATTGCAGTTTATATCTTGGCTTTTTGACCTCAAGTTCCTTTCAATGAGAAACACAGATGCTAGTGAAGGGCTCTCGATCCATATAATTAGAGCTACCCTCCTCTTCCTTAGATCTAACTTGATTAACTTCCTTTCCCCAGACAGTGTATAGAAATAGTTATAAGCGACAGCCTCTCTTTCACAAAACTATTACAACATTAAACAATGGAAATAAGTCACTCTGTCTGACTTTTTTGGGTTATCCCAGGTTCTCTACACATATGCTGCTATGTATGATAATTCTATGTAACTGTATTGTGTATACCTGAATAAATTTACTTACTTACTTACTTACTTACTTACGAAAGAGTTACAGTATTCTGAAAAGCCCATAAAGTGCTCAGAAAAATCAACAACAGCACGGCTACCATTCCTCAACTACCATTAAAGAACTCACATTTCTTGCAGACTGACCTGGTGAACGAAACACATGTACAACACTTCAATATCTTCATTATGAAGACGCTTTGCCAATCACTTTTTTTTCAATTCAATACAGAGATTATATATTAGAGACAGTGAAAGATGAGGTAATCACTCCCTCACCTTCAGACACCCAGGTGTTGCACATATGTCTTATTCATCAACTAGTTGGCATTGTACACCATTAATGTAATGAGACTGACCTGGATGTGTGAATTGATGTTGTTGGGGTCACGGCTGTTCATGGCGAAGGATGGTGTGCCACCTCCCATCCGATTACCTTTCCTCTTTTTCTCCTTGGCAGAGTCCTTCTTGTTCTCCTGGTGATGAGACGACTCTTCTCCCTCAAGCTTATTGGGATCTACCGGTCCTGTGGTCCAGGTGAAGTATTAATTAAAGCACAATGTGTAGAAAACACTAGCTAAGTACTAGAAAGGAGCATATGAGAAAACTAGCTATGTACTAGGAAGTAGTACATGAGAAAACATTAGCTATATACTAGACAGTAGCACTGGGCAGGCGATGCAAAATGCCCCCAATAAAAAGTAGGGGCGCCATTGGTACACTAAGGGAAAACACCATAAGTGTCCGGGGCCCAAGACTGTTCAACAGCCTCCCATCAAGCATTAGGGGAATTGCCAATAAGCCCCTGGCTGCCTTCAAGAGAGAGCTGGGCAGATACCTAAAGTCAGTGCCGGATCAGCCGGGCTGTGGCTCGTACGTTGGACTGCGTGCGACCAGCAGTAACAGCCTAGTTGATCAGGCCCTGATCCATCGGGAGGCCTGGTCATGGACCGGGCCGCGGGGGCGTTGATCCCCGGAATAACCTCCAAGTAACCAGTTATGAGAAAACATTAGCTATGTACTAGAAAGTAGCACATGAGAAAACATTAGCTATGTACTAGAAAGTAGCACATGAGAAAACATTAGCTATGTACTAGAAAGTAGCACATGAGAAAACATTAGCTATGTACTAGAAAGTAGCACATGAGAAAACATTAGCTATGTACTAGACAGTAGCACATGAGAAAACATTAGCTATGTGCTAGAAAGTAGCACATGAGAAAACATTAGCTATGTGCTAGAAAGTAGCACATTAGAAAACATTAGCTATGTGCTAGAAAGTAGCACATGAGAAAACATTAGCTATGTGCTAGAAAGTAGCACATGAGAAAACATTAGCTATGTACTAGAAAGTAGCACATGAGAAAACATTAGCTATGTGCTAGAAAGTAGCACATGAGAAAACATTAACTATGTGCTAGAAAGTAGCACATTAGAAAACATTAGCTATGAGAACACTTTCATTACGTTCTGTGTTCACACGTGTTCAGTATCACACGAAAGCAAATTTGAGAAGAGTTGTTTTAAAGATGGCCTGGGAGTTGACGAGAGAAACTAGCCTTTATAGGTAGTAATGATAGAGAGAGGGAGTGAGCAAAACGTTCTCTGATAAAGGCTTGCACTGATGTATATGTCTTGTCGGCATTTTGCCCTTGACCAGACAAGAGGATGAGGAGTTATATAATAAGGCTTTTTGATACCTGAAACATTATTGCGAGTTCTGTGAGAGTGTGTTGCTGTGTCTGACTTGTCCCGCTCCAACTGGCACTCGCCTCTCCACCGTAGTGTTAGCACTAGCCTCTCCACCGTAGTGTTAGCACTAGCCTCTCCACCGTAGTGTTAGCACTCGCCTCTCCACCGTAGTGTTAGCACTAGCCTCTCCACCGTAGTGTTAGCACTAGCCTCTCCACCGTAGTGTTAGCACTCGCCTCTCCACCGTAGTGTTAGCACTCGCCTCTCCACCGTAGTGTTAGCACTAGCCTCTCCACCGTAGTGTTAACACTCGCCTCTCCACCGTAGTGTTAGCACTAGCCTCTCCACCGTAGTGTTAGCACTAGCCTCTCCACCGTAGTGTTAACACTCGCCTCTCCACCGTAGTGTTAGCACTCGCCTCTCCACCGTAGTGTTAACACTCGCCTCTCCACCGTAGTGTTAGCACTCGCCTCTCCACCGTAGTGTTAACACTCGCCTCTCCACCGTAGTGTTAGCACTAGCCTCTCCACCGTAGTGTTAACACTCGCCTCTCCACCGTAGTGTTAACACTCGCGTCTCCACCGTAGTGTTAGCACTCGCGTCTCCACCGTAGTGTTAGCACTCGCGTCTCCACCGTAGTGTTAACACTCGCGCTCTCCACCGTAGTGTTAACACACGCGTCTCCACCGTAGTGTTAGCACTCGCGTCTCCACCGTAGTGTTAGCACTCGCGTCTCCACCGTAGTGTTATTAACACTCGCGTCTCCACCGTAGTGTTAACACTCGCGTCTCCACCGTAGTGTTAACACTCGCGTCTCCACCGTAGTGTTACACTCGCGCTCCACGTAGTTATACACGTCCCTCCACCGTAGTGTTAGCACTCGCGTCTCCACCGTAGTGTTAGCACTCGCGTCTCCACCGTAGTGTTAACACTCGCGTCTCCACCGTAGTGTTAGCACTCGCGTCTCCACCGTAGTGTTAACACTCGCGCCTTCACCGTAGTGTTAACACTCGCGTCTCCACCGTAGTGTTAGCACTCGCGTCTCCACCGTAGTGTTAGCACTCGCGTCTCCACCGTAGTGTTATTAACACTCGCGTCTCCACCGTAGTGTTAACACTCGCGCCTCCACCGTAGTGTTAACACTCGCGTCTCCACCGTAGTGTTAACACTCGCGTCTCCACCGTAGTGTTAGCACTCGCGTCTCCACCGTAGTGTTAGCACTCGCGTCTCCACCGTAGTGTTAGCACTCGCATCTCTACCGTAGTGTTAGCACTCGCGTCTCCACCGTAGTGTTAACACTCGCGTCTCCACCGTAGTGTTATTAACACTCGCGTCTCCACCGTAGTGTTAACACTCGCGCCTCCACCGTAGTGTTAGCACTCGCGTCTTCACCGTAGTGTTAGCACTCGCGTCTTCACCGTAGTGTTAGCACTCGCGTCTTCACCGTAGTGTTAGCACTCGCGTCTTCACCGTAGTGTTAGCACTCGCGTCTTCACCGTAGTGTTAGCGCACGAATCGCGTCTTCACCTGTGTTAGCACTCGCGTTTCACCGTAGTGTTAGCACTCGCGTCTTCACCGTAGTGTTAGCACCCGCGGCTTCACCGTAGTGTTAGCGCACGAATCAGCGTCATAATGCTGGCGCCGGTCAACGATTCATCTCATAGCTGAGACCCATGTCAAGGGTTCATCCGTGATGAATACAATTTCCGTGCAGTCAACCTCAACAACAGCATCATCACAACCGCTAACCAACAATCTCTACCCACATATAATTAAAAAAAAAATTACAGTACAATAAACCACCGTTCCTACTTTCACCACCTCACCCCTCCCTACTTCCCCCCACACTCCTCACCCCTCCCTTCTTCCCCCCACACTACTCACCCACGCTTCGTTCACACCCTACCTCGCCTCACCCACACCCCTCCTCGACCCCCACTAACCACACCCACCTCCAGCCCACACAACCTCTGCTCCATCTAATGACTTAACACAAGGATGGGAAAACCACCTCAGTTAAAGAGCTTAGCTTTCTCCTCTTCCACGTCTCTGTGCTCTTACTGCAGCATATATATATATATATATATATATATATATATATATATATATATATATATATATATATATATATATATATATATATATATATATATATATAGACACACACATACGAGGAGATATAAACATATCCTCCACCATAAGGTCCGTGGTTCGATCCCCGGTACGGGTGGAATCATTAATACGTGTTTCCTTAAGAAACCTGCTGTCCCTGTTCAACTAGCAGTAAAACAGATACCTGGGTGTTAGTGGACTGGTGTGGGTCGCATCCTGGGACAAAACTGACCTAATTTGCCCGAAATACTCCACATAACAAGTAACTTTCTATATAGTAGTATATCATTGATGTCAGCTGTGGTCTGTATACCTTGTACATGTACTTGTAGAAATAAAGATTATATATCTATCCTAGGTAACATTATTTTTAAAACTGAAGTCACTCGTTTCGAAATGTTTCCTCTAATAAATGTCTTAAAATGTACATAAGTGTCTTTTTTCATATCTTGTCGGTATCATCATACAATTTTTCAACATTTCTCAAACTTCCCCAATGGAAATAAGTCTGGATAACTTGATGAAGGAAATTCATGAGACTGGATGATGTGTATGTTGATCAGGGAAGTTCACGACTGATGAACACTGTTGTAGGAATAATGAACAATGACACAGTACTGGTGAACACTGTTGTAGTAATAATGAACAATTACACAGTACTGGTGAACACTGTTGTAGTAATAATGAACAATTACACAGTACTGGTGAACACTGTTGTAGTAATAATGAACAATTACACAGTACTGGTGAACACTGTTGTAGTAATAATGAACAATTACACAGTACTGGTGAACACTGGTAGTAATAATGAACAATTACACAGTACTGGTGAACACTGTTGTAGTAATAATGAACAATTACACAGTACTCGTAAACACTGTTTTTTTTATTATCCTGGGTAATTTACACGTATGTTACTAGGTATGATACCTGTACTTATGTGTACCTGTACTTATGTGTACCTGTACTTATGTGTACCTGTACTTAAACTTACTTACCACTTACCTAGTCACTTCAATTTTATATCTAAGTGATTTCTGTGAAGTGAAGAATGAATTACGGCATCGCGGCTTGAAGGGCCATTGATCCAAAGATTTAGATCTAACTTTCCTATCCCATGGCACTATGTGACCCTCACGGGTTTATTGGTTCTCCATGTATTTAACAGAAATGTTAATAAGTTGATAAATTAGACACATATGCAACACTTGGGTATCTGGAAGCGTTTAGCCAGACTTTGGCTTCATCAGTCTATACAAAGAAGAATAAAGATGTCTATGTGTCGCCCATGTGTCTAATTTGTGTATGTGACGCGTTAAGTAAGCACCTTTCTCAGTGCTCCAGCTGGAGTAAGTTTATCCAGGTACACGTACACATAAATTATCATACAGAGCAGCATACGTGTAGATTACTTAGGATAACCCAAAAAAGTCAGACACAGTGACTTATTTTCACTGGAGGTCTGTCCACTACCGTCCCCCGACCATTCACTACCGTCCCCGCCCCTCCACTACCGTTCCCAGCCATCCACTACCGTCCCCCGACCATCCACCACCGCCCCCCGACCCTCCACTACCGTCCCCGCCCCTCCACTACCGTTCCCAACATCCACTACCATCCCTGACCATCCACCACGTCCCCCGATCATCCACCACCGTCCCTCGACCATACACCACGTCCTCGACCATCCACCACCGTCCCTCGACATACACCACCGTCCTC